CTGTAGTCCCAGGTACTCCGGAGGCTGAGGCAGGAGAATGGCGTAAACCCGGGAGGCGGAGCTTGCAGTGAGCTGAGATCCAGCCACTGCACTCCAGCCTGGGCGACAGAGCAAGACTCTGTCTCAAAAAAAAAATAAAAAAATAAAAAATAAATAAAATAAAATAAAATAAAATGAAAACTGGAGCTTTTCCTACTATATTTTAGCCAAGAAGTATACAACTGGGAGCCATCCTCTAATTACAAGGTCCTGACTGAGAAGAGAGTCTACAGAAAGTAGAGGTAAGAAACAGAAAACAAAACAAAACAAAACAAAACAAAAAAATCTTGATTTTGATTATAAAATTTGTGTCCTATATCTAGTTATTTTGAAGTTAAACTTACCTTTAGATTGCTGTCAATAAAAAAAAAAATTTTAGTTATTTTTATTATTAATTTATGTATTTAATATTTATTAAAATTTTGATCCCTCAATTATTACTGTCAATAATAAACAGAAGGAAAGAACCAATGAAAAAGGATTTCAATTAATTTATTAAGTTAGAAAGCAGATAAAGAAGGAATGATGACTGATCAGTCAGCAGAGACAGCCATAATCTACTGTTTGCATGGAAGAGAACAGAGCCAAGAAAGGAACCAAACTAGGCCACACTATCCTGAACTCCAGGAATAACAAATATGAGATGTGGGGTTGTGAAAATTCTAGAGTCAAAAGCATTCACAGTCAGCTTTCCTCTTGTATTATTCTTGGATATGAAAAGGCAACCAAAACATTAAAGAAAAGTCTATGACATGAAAGAGAAGAAAACTAAGAAAAAAAAATCTCAAAGAAAACACCAGTATCAGCCGGGAGCGGTGGCTCACGCCTGTAACCCCAACACTTTGGGAGGCCAAGGCGGATGGACCACCTGAGGTTGGGAGTTTGAGACCAGCCTGACCAACATGGATAAACCCCATCTCTACTAAAAATACAAAATTAGCCAGGTGTGGTGGCACATGTCTGTAATCCCAGCTACTCGGGATGCTGAGGCAGGAGAATTGCTTGAACCCGGGAGGCGGAGGTTGTGGTGAGCCAAGATTGTACCATTGTACTCTAGCCTGGGCGACAAGAGCGAAACTCTGTCTCAAATAAAAAAAAAAAAGAAAGAAAACACCAATATTTCAGGAAACGAAAGATAATATTTAAAATCTGTTTGTATTTTAAGAGGATATAGCGATGTTACATCTATAGATAGAAAAATAAGTTGTTATTAAAAAACAATGGACAAACAAGAAAAGTTCTTGACTACTGAAAATATGATGGCAAAAATTTAAAAAATTTAGCAAGAAAGTAGGGAAATTTAAAAAGGAAATCTCACAGAATATACGACAAAAAGACACTGAGATAGAAAATACATTTAAAAAAAGACAGACATGAAGATTCACTCTAGAAAGTTTCATGTCTGACTAGTGAGAGTGTCAGCAAAAGGGAACAGAGAAAATCAAAAGGAACAAATCATCAAACAACTAGTGGAAGAACCATCCTTACACTGCAATTCTATTGGCTTTGCAATATGTTGTGTATCAGATTTGACATCAAGTTTTCTCCCGTCAAAAAAATAAAAATGGCTATGGCAGTTTTAGGTCTCACATCCACACATCTCTCTGCACAGAAGGAGAAGAGCTTATCTTCTGCCAACTACCCAACATTCTAGGCTTCATTCTATTAGGACAAACATAGGTTAACAAAACCACCTCTGATCCAATCACAGTGGCCAGAAGAATGCCATGTTCTGACTGGCTATCACCTGGATTACATGCCTATGCCCAAACCATCAATCAGAGACAGAGGACAAGGGATGTGTCACTACTCAATAGGGATTTAGGGAAGGGATGCAGGAGAAACAACACTCAATACAGCATTACTGTGATATTTCAGTACACCAAGCATGAAGACACATCATAAAAGTTAACAGAGAAGAAAAACAGACCACCTAAAAAGGAACAACAATCACACCAGTATCTGCAAAAGGCTAGAGAACCATGGGGCAATGCTGTCTATGATTTGAGGGAAAAATGACTTTCAACTTAAAGTCCTAAATTCAACCAAATCAATAAAATATGAGGGCAGAACAGGAACATTTTCAAAATGGAAAGATTCCAAAGTCCCCTAAGGCAGTATCTTAAATATAGATTATACTGAAACTAAGGAATAAATCAAGAAAAAGGAAGACATCAGATCCAGAAAGTAGCTCCAAACCAATAGAACAGAAAGAATATAATCCCTACATATAGTTCCTATAGAGATATAGTGCTTATATGTATCTTTCTGTAACTATTACACTGCTCGTGTGACTTAAAACAGACAGAATTGGAAATTACTATATTTTCAGAAAAAATACAGTTATCTATTAAACTAAACTAGATAAGAACTGAAGTTACATTTTAATAGTAAAGAAATTCTAAAGAATAAAAGATTAGCCACATGAAAAATATTTTGCAAACCTTGAGATACATACCTCTAGCTGTCAGAGTCACCTGATAATTTATGAGACAAAGGCTTATTACATTTCTCTTAGGTGTCATAATTTCTACAAAATAGTTATGAAACTTGTAACTCTCTAAGTTCTTCCAAGTCTTTCCTACTTCTTTTCAGCAATTAGTAAATTAAACTCTTTGCAAAAAGGAACATCTATTCAAAAATTAGTTTTAATATTTGTGGGGAAAATGTTACAAAAACAAGACTTACATGTGAAAGCTGCAAAGCTGTAACTGGTTATAAATAAATGTATACAATGAAAATAAATCTAAATGCTTTCCATACTCCATTAATATTCAAAGGATTAAAAAATGCAGTTCTTTCTTTTTCTTAGAACAAGTCAAGACTAACTTGAAAAATTATAGCTTTTCTAGATTCGTTTTTTCCATAATTACTCAGTTATTCATCAGAATATGTAAGACCTCTATTGGAATCTTTGCAACAGTGTTTCATAAATGAATTTAACTATAAAAGCCTAGTTATACAATCACTTCCATAAAAGCAATATATTTCTGATATTTATGTCCTTAAAATATCCTATAGTAAAATTAATATTTCTACACAGGAAAAGAAGGAACTATTTAGTCCCAGACAACTTGATAACATATCTTTCAACTATAATTATCATGTACAAACTTCCAAAGCATAAGTTGTCAAGATTTTAACATTAGCATTAATTTATGTCATAACTGATGGTTACCATAAAGATAATAATGGCAAGGCATCCATTTCTCCAAAGACAGCATGGATGGAAAGGAAAATTTCTTCTTAATTATTGCTAATCTGTCCATTTTTAATTAAATTTATTATTAATAGTAACTTATTATCTCTCTTTCTTGCAGGGCTGTTATCACAGAGTTTCTCCAAAGTGATCAAGCTTGTGATTTTTAAGCAACCCAATTACTTCAGTGTGAGTCTCATCATTTTATAATATTGGTTTATATAAAAACGTAATGCCCAAATTCTTTGTACTATGAGAAAGAAATTTTGAAAATGCAGGATTTGCACTCAGTATTTCACACTTCAGCGTGAACACTGTCAAGATCATAATTGCACCCTTTTGGAGATATGACCACTAAAAGTAGGATTCTTTTAAGCCTTCTACCTTGTTTGATAATGAAAATGTTTATCAGCATGTATCTTCCCAAAGGGAAGAAAGCAGATCTCTGTGATTTCCTTTCAAAAGTATCTACTTCTTATGCCATCCATAACTAAGCAGAAAATTTTGGTACTCCTCTAAGGGTTTTTCCTATCAGTTTCTTTTTAGAATAAAAATAAAAATGTTCTGACATACAAAATAAGAACTATTGTAGTCAAATTTTAAAAGAATTTCAGTGCTTCATATATTTTTCAAATCAAGAGCCTTAATTAACTTTTGATTTGTATGAAAGTCAAAGTATGTCGTTTAAGTAGCTACTTGAAACTAGAAAATTTTCATGACAGAGGTTCATGAGATAACTTCTGAAAAAACTGAACTTCTCTCAAGAGTGAGAAAGTGAAATGCAATGTCCCTTTGTAAAGGAAGGGACAGAAATCTTTCCTTCCCCTTGTGAAAAATAGTAAGACATCAAGAAATACTGGCTTGAATATCCTACTTCATCAAATCTGCCTTATAGGAATAGATTGTAACTGAATAAAAATTCATACTTAGAAGAATATTGAACTGTATTCAAATAGTTGGCTATCAATAAAAATGAAAAGATAATTGCTTAATATAAAATCATCCTTATTAATTACCATTTACTGAGTATAGTAACTATTAGATATATGAGCCCAAATATACCCTCCTAGAAATTAATGAGTGCAAAATGGCTGCCAAACTTTTACATACTGTGACTTATACATTAAATTCATACCTGTTGCAACAGATTTAAGCAAGGTTCAATCTCTCATTTTTTTTATGTCTACTTGTTAGCTTATCAGAAATGTCTTGCTTGACCACCATATGTAGCACTACCTCCACAGCTATGTCCTGCCATCATGTGCTATCTGATTCTACTTCATTTTTCTTCATAGTACTGTTCACTATCAAGCATGTTATTTGTTTATTGCCTGTCCTCTTCCACTAGAAAGTGAGCTCCATTAGCATAGGCCTTTAACTTATATGTTCACTGTTCTATCCCCAGTGTCTAGCGCTATATGCCAGGCATATAGTAGACATTCAAAAAATATTTGTTAATAAAGAAATTAAATGGCCATCAGCTCTAATCTTTCTTTTCCTTAGGAATAGAAAACTTAGTTTAATATCATTTGATAATCCTGGATGCCAAACTATACAAAAAGTCTTATTTTTAAATATCATTTAATATAAAGACATACTCACCATTTGGAGCTTTTTTATAACCAAAAAAAGACAAAATATCCTTTTAAAGAATAGTTGGGCTACTAACAATTGCAAATTATGAATTTCTAAATAATTTGGCAAATGTAATTTCTTAAATTACACACTAAATTCAAGATACTTAATTGGTTACTCTGCATACCTTAACAAGTTTCAAAAGCTCATAGAGATCTTCAACCTCATCACCTTCACATTTGGTGTATACTTGTCTTGTATCCAAGCTCCTTCCTCTTATGGTTCGGCGATAGAGGGGAAGAGCCATTGCTTCTGCATACAAGTCAATGGCATGGTGTCCCACTGTCTGATACATATAGCTATCCAGTTCATCAGACCCCACTGCAACAATTAAAATGGAAATAATTAGCAAAAGAGAGTGAAAAAGAAAGTGGATTTGAAAGCCCATCCAGGTTTTACTGCTTGAAGAGTAGTCGACACAGAACTTAAAAGCTTGCTATATTTCTCTGCATTTATGTAGTGAAATAAAAACGTAAGAATTGTACATTTGTCTGTAGTTGCATCTAGTTCATATCACCCCTAATAATCTCTACTACTAATCACAAATACAAATGTATTAATACATAAATCTGTTATACCATATATGGCAAACATTTAAAGACTAATGTATCCAATAAATTTTGATTAGTTTATTCAGTTAAAGATTTTTTTTACATAAATGTTTTTACAAATCATTCAAGGTTATTCACAAAGTCATCTAGACTTGTAGAAAAAACCTTTCTTAATTAAATATCTACTTAGTAAGTGACAAAGATTGGTAAGAAAAATTTCAGATTATTTTGGTATATTTTATATTCAGATATTCAGGACCTTATAATAAAATATGTAAATAGACATAAATTCAATACTGTTAGAGCATTAGAGCAGTTTCAAATGTGCATAGAAGCATGATATCTTAAGCTAATCAATAATATAATCAGTGGTTGTCACAAGATTCCACAAATATCAATATGAGTAAAATATTCAAAACATGAGTCACATCAGAGCTTTGGGTGATATAAATGAACTTAGAAATACACTGGAATAGACCTTTTGATCTCGTAACCTTACTTTTCAGAAAAAGAATCATGAATATATACAAAGATTATTTGCAAAGATATTTGTCACATTATTTAAAATAGACTAGAAATTATAGTATATTCATACAATAAAGTACTATGTAGCCACTAATATAATGTTGAAGAACATTTTCTAAAGTATGTTCTGTGGCATACAAATCCCATAAGATATTAATAGGTATGGGATGATAAAAAGATTTAAGGTTAAAGAAGTTTAGGAAACATGGGGATAAAAAGCATTAAATGGATGTCTGTGGCGTAAATCTTCCTAGGCTAATATGCTTTCAGGTACTCCAATAAGAGCAGAGAATATGAACTATCTCTCAAATTTATCTACCCACAGAACACTTAAATTTAAAGGGGGTATCTGTGTTCTAAAGACATACAGGAAATGCTATTGTAGAATAATATTTAATGACATGGAAAATGTTCACAAAATGCTATTAAGTAAAAAAAAAAAAAAAAAGAAAAATTACAAAATAATTATTTTGACATATACCTACGTGTGTATGTATGAATATAAGCCAAACCGGTCCAGGCTTTCCATTAAATGTGAAAATTTCCTATCAAAAGGAATGAAAAATGATAGTGCAAGGACCCCTTCAACAATCAAAATCATCAAAATGTGCTACCCTATTTTGGCTCACAGGTTTCTGAACTCACACATGATTAGACTGGCTTCCTTCAGAATATTACTCACATTGTTGTTATAAAGGTTTCTACTCCTGGTCCCAGTAGGAAGTAGAGAACATAGCCAAAGACCTAAAAACCTTTCGGCCTTCTCTTGTCTCAAAGTTAGACTGGATCTTTAAAAATATTCATTTTAAAGGATATTGATACAATAAAATCAATTTATTCAAAGAAATTTGGGCTTCTTGGCAAGAAACATTCTGATGTTAGCATAATAAGTAAAACATTTCACTGGCTTCAAAAACCTAGAAGATAATTTTCTTTAAGGCTCCATTTAGTCCTAACCACATTGTAACTTTGATTAATGGAAGCTACACAGCAACAATAGTGTGAGATCAAATAAAACCAAAGGCTCCCCTGTTGCCTGAAGCAACTCAATTAACATGCCACAAAAGTTCCTACTACAAATCTAAAGAGATGGTTTTGTGAATTTTATGACAAGTTCACATTATCCCCATTGATGGGTATAAATTCCTTTTCAGACCACCCATTGAAAACCCGTAACTTTGCTGGACATTGCAGTCATCACTACCAGTCATTCCTCACTAAGGTTTCTTTTATAACACTTGTAAGGGGAAAATAAGTCATTCAGTGAATTGTTCAATAATTCCCAATGTCCTGCTGATTTTCATCAAGATTAACTAAACCATCTCCATCTACCAACCCACAGCCATCTGCTTTCTTCCACAACAATTACTATTGTTTCAACTGCCTTTTTCCAGGCTTTTTACTTCAGAATATTCTAATTCCATTTACTATTAAATTTTTTCTCATTAACAATATTCTAAATAAGTGTCTCTATTGTGAGAGGTATAATTTTTATTTTTATTTTTATTGTATTTATGTATTTTTATATATATTTTTTGAGACGGAGTCTCACTCTGCCGCCCAGGCTGGAGTGCAGTGGTGCAATCTCAGCTCACTGCAAGCTCCACCTCCCGGGTTCACGCCATTCTCCTGCCTCAGCCTCCCCAACAGCTGGGACTAGAGGCGCCCGCCACTATGCCCAGCTAATTTTAATATTTTCAGTAGAGACGGGGTTTCACCATGTTAGCCAGGATGGTCTTGATCTCCTGACCTTGTGATCCGCCCGCCTCGGCCTCCCAAAGTGCTGGGATTACAGGTGTGAGCCACCGCGCCCAGCCTTGGAGAGGTATAATTTAAAGATACACTTTGCTTGTCATTTTACCACCCTGCCAGTGAACCGTGGACACAAGGAAGATTATACATTAATGATTCTGTACCAGGTAAGTAAAATAATTCATGTGAAAGCTGAAGACAAGATAGAAACTCCAGTGATGGAAATGACAGTATACTATGTAGGTATTATATACTATATAAACATCCGCTTTTTAACTTCACAAGATAGCTTAAAAGTCCCAGTTGCCTCCCTGGCCACAAGGGATAAGGGAGTTTCTTTCCTTTGGTAAACCTGACAGGAGATTCTGCTTCCTCTTTTATAATACAGAAGTTAGAGTGCAGTTCCTACTCATTCTCAAAGAATTTTCTCTTTCTTAAAGTTGGAACTTCTTTAAAAAACTTCACTTCTAAAAAACCATCTGCTACTCATCAATTGCAGCACAAAATCCAAGCATGTGCATTTACCTATGACTCTCTGCGGGACCTTTCCATTTCTTCCTATAAAATATTTCTAACCTCTGTCTTTCCACACAACTTCCAGCATTACTTACGTCTTAATCACAGAAGAAAAGAAAATTCAAATATCTGACTGAAATAACTGCTTACTATTCCAGGGCTAATTCAAATTAGTTCATTATGCACCTGTCCACCAATCAACTTTGCATGAACTCCTACCAGAGGCATAGAGCTGTTCTAAGCAATGAGGAGCAATAAAAGGAAGATAGAAGATATGATCTCTCCTCTCAAACAGCTTATAATCAATCTATTTAGAGATATAAAACAAGTATTTAGCTAGATTCCAATTCAGCTAAATTTACAGAATGCCTACTTCATGACAGGAACTATAACCAATGTTCTCACATATACTACTCATTTAATTAATCTTAAAATAACAGTAGTGCAAAAAGATGGAGCCTAGAAAGAAGTAAAAGAGATAATAAAAAGATCTTAGTAGAAGAGTCCTGTGAGAAGCAGTAATACAAAAGTCACACAAGTGCTAATCTTTGCTCCCTCTTACATTTTAGCAGTTAATATCTTTTAGTTTCATAAGTATAACACAAGAGCATTAAAAAGCAAATTGGTGAATATATTTCTTTTGTCAAAAGCTATAACTGGGGATATTTCATTGGGGAAAAAAATGAAAAAAGTAGCCAATATGAGGTCTGTGAATTTTATGTAGATGCCCTTGTTACTACAGACAAATGAAAAGTGGAAATGCATTGCTTTTTGCTTCTCTCAAGTCTCACATCTCTGGCTTACATCTAAAATACCTAAACTGTATCTTTTTCTTTTTTTTTTTGAGACGGAGTCTCGCTGTGTCTCCCAAGCTGGAGTGCAGTGGCGCCATCTCGGCTCACTGCAAGCTCCACCTCCTGAGTTCACGCCATTCTCCTGCCTCAGCCTTCCGAGGAGCTGGGACTACAGGTGCCTAATAACATTAATATTTCATTTATCAATATATGTCTTACTTCTCAAGCCCTTTGAGGCATGAGACTATATCTTATCTACCTCTATGCTGCCTACAGTACTTGGAAATGTGGTGGGGTAAAATGGCAGTGTACTTTGAAGTAAGAAGGTTCAAGTCTTAGCTCTACAAGTTTGTGCTAGTTTACTTCAGACAAACTCTAAGCTTCAGGATCCCTGTCTATTAAGATTAATAATGCATCTCTATAGAAGTTGGTTATGAGAATTAAAAAATAAGTGAAGACAATGCTAAGTTCTACGTGGAACCTAGCATCTAATGGGTGCTTAATATATATTGGTTCTTTTTTTTTCGTCTTTGTATGGTATACCTGTACAATGTAATTATGAAGTTGGAGTTTCATTCATTTAGGCAACTTCCCAATAAAGGCATGTACTTACCTTGGTTTTCAGCTGGTCTCAGATTTGCTAAAGCAACGATCTGATGCCCAGCAGCAATGCACTGCATCATATTATAGCAGCTGTCCTTCCCACCACTAAAAAATAAATCAACAGAGAGACAAATATCAAGCTACTGACCATTATTCAACATAAAATCACTAGATATCAAAACAGAACATATTATTTACTCGACTTTTCAGAATATATTACAATGCAAAAAAAACATTAATTTCTAAATCATAAACAAACTGAGCAACCTGAATGTCCAGGGCTGCTATACACAGGAGCTTAAGAAACTATATGCCTTTATAAAAAGAATATTCTAAATAAAATATGGTAACTTTTTGCTTTGTGATAGCAAATATATATATTGAAGTGCTTTGCAAATAGAAAATTTCAATTTACATCCCAGCTAAACATTTATTATATAATTATATATTTCATATATATATTCCATCTAAGGAATATATATAATATATAATTCCACTTAATAATTTCATAGAAATTATTGAAAAAGCAAAAAAAAAAAAGATTCTTTATGAGAAAGTAAAAAAAATAAATTCTGCTCCACCATAAGAAATCTAAGAAATAGCTATCATCAGCAATTAAAGGACCAAATTAAAGATTTGAGTACCTATCTAATGACAAAGTTTGACACACTTGGTGGGTTCAAATTCTGCAGAGATAAAAAACAAGATGCTGACTTACGCTGATGACATGAAACATCAGCACTATCAGCACTTCAGCCATCACCACACTTACATACATACATATGTTATACACATACACATTTTATATATATATGATGGCAGCAGAACATGGCTTGAGCTATAAATCTAGTAACACATTGAAAGGAACTTCTAAATTCTGGTTTTAAATCTACCTAAGGCAGAGGCGTATCACTTAGTAAAGACAAGTAGTAGCTCATCTGTAATATGGCTGAATGGCAATCTATATGCCATTGTGGTTTAATATTCTCCTAATTCCCACTATCATTTCTCATTGCCTCTCTCCCTTTTATATTTCTTTTCCTCCTGTTTCCCTTCTTTCCAATATTTGCTTAAGGTCTGCAAATGTGCCCCCAGGCAATGTTTAGACCTCTTCATAGCTCAAGAAACTGAGGACCCCAGAAACTGGCCCTGTTGCCTTTTATCTTAGTTTTCAACATTTTCTGCCTCTTCCACCCTCCCATCAATAACAACTCTCATTCCAAAACTTCTCAAGTGGAAGGAGAGTGCAAGGGCCAAAGTAAAGTTTTAAAAAGTCCATTCTTCCTCTCTTCAGATTCCGTATCCCCGTAAGTAGGTCTTCCACAGCTTCCCGTATCGAACCTTACTGCTCTGTTTCCCCAGGCTAAAAAGATATGACTAATTGTTTCAGATATTAAAGACTGAAGGGTGTGCATCCAGAATCAGAATTGAGTCTTACAATTCATTTTGAAATACGCTAACATTTCAAACATGGTTTTCAGTAGTATTTACCAAACTGTGTTCTATGGAACACTGGTGTCCAACAAAATACTAACCAATTACTCTAAAAAAAGGTTTTGAATATTAGACAAGCTTGGGAAATGCAGAGTACCTTACTGTCCTCTTAGAACTCCATTAAGTACACATGTATGTTATGGGAGAGGTCTTATAGATCTATTTTAGTTTCCAATTCTGGGATACTAAGCTAAGTTATTAAATGTGCTTAGGTTTGCATACTTCATACAAAAATTAGTGAATGGTCCGCCTGGATAATCCTCAAAACAACATTCAACTATAAAATTCAAAGACCATTTATTAGAAAAATAATGTTCCATGAGAGCACATGGACACAGGAAGGGGAACATCACACACCGGGCCCTGTGGGGGGTTGGGGCTAGGAGAGGGCTAATGTTAGGAGAAATACCTAATGTAGGTGATGGGTTGATGGATGCAGCAAACCACCATGGCACGTGTATACCTATGTAAAAAAATGCACGTTCTGCACATGTAACCCAGAACTTAAAGTATAATAAAAAAATTAATTAAAAAAGGAAAATAATGTTCTTATAAAGATATGTAAGAATCCCAGTTTCACTTATTCACTTAAAATACATAATTATATATAATGCATATATATAGAATACATAGCATCTATATCATAAGCATATAGGTAAGTGCTTATGTATTCATACTTACAGCATATGTCCTTACAGCTCTTACACTTCAGCAAGAATTTTCCAACATTGCTTTTTTTAGCAAATTTTTTTTTTTATTACAAAGCAACATATGTACATTACAGGTTATTTAGTATAACTCACTCTACCAATCTTCTCTCCTCCCCTCTAATACTTCTAAGTCTTTGGTTGTTGTGCTTTACTTTAATCATTAAACTTTTGAAAAACGATGTTCACTTCCTGGGGTACTTTTAATTCTAAAATGAGACACAATGGTTAAAGCCTAATCATTCATTTTACAGAGGGCATTTACTGAAAAACAATAATTATTGTGACATTATGGTCTAGTCTCCTAAAAATCACACTGAAGGAAAGGGAACTGGAATATTTCAGACACTGCAGTAGGTCTGAAATGTCATATCAAGTCCTTAATAGGACAATGCTTAACCAGCCAGTATCAGTTACCTAAGGGACTTAACGAAAACGTTTATGAAATCTTCAATTGGATTACAAAAGCAAACGCATCGTTGTACTGTATCTAAGACACTCTACAGGGCAAAATCTCATGAAACAAATATTTAAACTAGTCTAGACTAACTTTTTAATGTTGTTAGTGTGTTCCCTTCCGCCTCAGTTTATAGATTGAGTATGGAAATATTTAAGCAGGTTTGGTTTTGGTTTGTCAGTCATAGGACTTCTTTAGACACTTAAATTTATGATTTGGTTACTACAGACATCAAACTCCTTTTGAAATACGGAGTATACGGTAAGGTCACTCTAAAGCAATGATGAGAGTCCGAAGCAACAGCAACTGCATCTAGCATAAGACTAGTACAATTCGGTCTCTACCACGAAGAGAGATCTCTGTACTTGAGTGCCCACAGGCAGAAACACACACATGCCATAAGCAATCCACATCTGTGAAGATGAGGGAAGGGTGGACTTCTTGGGAGGGGCGGAACCAGTTACAACTAGGGAGGACGACCAGGCTACGGCGGACCCAGCTGACCAAAAGGAACTACAGAAGAGGATGAAGAAAGCAGGGGGAAAGGGCGAGGATTATTAACTGAGTTGGCGGAACCAGGTAGTGGCTCCAAACTTCACGGCTCATTAGAGCTTGAAAAAAAATCAGACGCCGGGCCGCACAGAAGTAATTAAACCAATCCCTCTGGCGGCGGGGCCCAGGCGTCAGTTTTTTTGTTTTTTTTGTTTGTTTGTTTGTTTTAATTTCCCAGTTGAATCCAATGGAAATCCAAGTTTGAGGGCTGGAAGACCAGAGAGGCAGCGACGGACGGGGAGGAGGCGCGCCAGCCCAGGACCGAGCCACAAGCCGGCCGGCAATACCGAAGGGAGCGCTCCGCCTCTTCCTGTGGCTCGGAGGAGCCGCGGAACCCCCAACACGCGGCTCAGGCAGAGACACCCACTCTTTCGGCGCTAGGGGCGGCTGGAAGGGACGAGAGGTTGGCCTGGGAAGAGGGAGGCGGCTCCAGGACCGCATTACCTGATCAGAGCCGCGACCCTCATGCTGGGC